TTTTGAATTAATAGAGTAATAAATCATGTGAGCATAGAGCAAAACTAATCGCTGGAAAAGAAAAGCTCTATATTTAGTATGGGCTCGACCGGGATTTGAACCGGGACCTCTCGCACCCAAAGCGAGAATCATACCCCTAGACCACCGAGCCGCGTTAGACAAGCGACTCTCCTTTAATCACTTTGAGTGTTTTGCGAGAAGGAAAAAGTTAACGCGCTTTTGAATTAATATAATAAATCATGTAGCATAGAGCAAAACTAATCGCTCGGAAAAAAAAATTTTCCATTCAATTATGGGCTCGACGGATTTGACCCTGACCTCTCTCACCCGAAGCCAGAATCATACCACTAGACCATCGAGCCAGCAAGAAAGACTTTATTTTCTGTTTTCACGTTTTCTAGAATTTCTCAACAAAAGCTAGCATTATATGTCTGCTTATTTCTTAACATACAACACTTTCTTCTTCTTCCGTTATGCCAATTTTGATCGTTTCGAAAAATCTGAAGTCGCTGTCCTCGGTCGGGATTCCAACAGGGAACTCCACCCTAAGCGAGAATCATACCCCTAGACACCAAAACACATAACTCTCTTAACGTTTCTCAGAACGCTGTGACTTCTTAATCAAAAGTTAGATCAAGCATATCTTTATTTTACTGCTTGAAAATCCGACAATGTCGATTGAGTTATCATGAATTTAAGTAACACAAAATGCGACGGATTGTGAGATTTAGTTAGTCGAATCATTCCACTTAAACAAAACATCGCAACTTTAAGCTTTCCTTACACTTTCCCCGTTTATCTCTGATGAACTTACGATTCTCGCAAGTGGAGGTAGTTTTCTAAAAACATAGAACAATAAACTTCCTGTATAAGGAAGCGCAGAGAATATTCAATTCCTATGTTGTCTTTGACATTAATCTAGTGGAGCTATAAAAATAAAATTGCAGGAGCTCGGCTGGATTTGAACCGGACCTCTCGCACAAAGAGAATCATACCCCTAGACTACCGAGCCGCGTTAAATGATCGACTCTCTCTTTAATCACATTTGAGTGTTTTTGAGACGCAAATTGAACGCGCTTTTGAATGAATATTAAAATCATGTGAGCATAGAGCAAAACTAATCGCTCGGAAAAGAAAGATTTTCCATATTCAATTATGAGCGACCGGGATTTGAACCGGACCTCTCAACAGCGAGAATCATACCACTAGACCATCGAGCCAGAAAAAGACTTTATTTTCTGTTTTACGTTTTCAGTAATTTCTCAACCAAAAGCTTAGTTACTTATATCAGTTCGCTTATTTCTTAACATTCAACACTTCTTATCTTCTTCCCGTTATGCCAATTTTGATCGTTCGAAAATCGAAGTCTGTCCTCGGCGGGATTCCAACACGGAACTCTCACACCCTAAGCGAGAATCATACCCCTAGACCACCAAACACGCAATCCTCGCTTAAGTTTACTCAGAACGCGTGATTCGTTTAATCAAAAGCTTAGTACTAACGTTTTGCATTCTTTATTTTACTTTGAAAATCCGACAATATGTCAAATTGAGTTATCATGAATTTAAAGTAACACAAATGCGACGGATTGTAGATTTAGTTAGTCGAATCATTCCACTAAACAAAACATCCGCAACTTTAAGCTTTCCTTACACTTTCTCTTTTATCTCTGATGCAATTTACGATTCTTCCTGCAAGTGAGGTAAGTTTCTAAAACTATAGAACAATAAACTTCCTGTATAAGGAAGCGGAGAATATTCAATTCCTAATTGTTGTCTTGACATTAATCTAGTGAGCTATAAAAATAAAATTGCGAAGGGCTCCGGGATTTAACCGGACCTCTCGCACCCAAAGCGAGAATCATACCCTAGACCACCGAGCGCGTTAAATAACGACTCTATTTTAATCACATTGAGTGTTTTTTGAGACGGACAAAAGTGAAGCGCTTTTGAATGAATATTATAAAATCATGTGAGCATAGAGCAAATAATCCTCGGAAAGAAAGATTTTCCATATCATATGGGCTCGACAGGGATTTGAACCGGACCCTCACACCAGCCAGAATCATACCTATCAGACCATCGAGCCAGCAAGAAAAGACTTTATTTTCTGTTTTCACGTTTTCCAGTAATTTCTCAACCAAAAGATTAGTTACTTATATCAGTTCGCTTATTTCTTAACATACAACACTTTATTATCTTCTTCCCGTTATGCCAATTTTGATCGTTCCGAAAATTCAGTTCGCTGTCCTCGGCCGGGATTCCAACACGGGAACTCTCACACCCAAAGCGAGAATCATACCCCTAGACGACCGAAACACACAATGCTCTGCTTAACGTTTACTCAGAACGCTTGTGACTTTGTTTTATCAAAAGCTTAGGTACTAACGTTTTTCATTCTTTATTTTACTTCTTTGGAAATCCGACAATATGTCAGATAGAGTTATCATGAATTTAAAGTAACACAAAATGCGACGGATTGTAGATTTAGTTAGTCGAATCATTCCACTTAAACAAAACATCCGCAACTTTAAGCTTTCCTTACACTTTCCTCCTGTTTTATCTCTGATGGAACTTTACGATTCTTCCCTGCAAGTGGAGGTAAGTTTTCTAAAACTATGGAACAAAACACTTACCTGTATAAGGAAGCGCGGAGAATATTCAATTAATAATTGTTGTCTTTGACATTAATCTAGTGGGAGCTATAAAAATAAAATTGCGAAGGGCTCGGCCGGGATTGTAACCCGGGACCTCTCGCACCCAAAGCGAGAATCATACCCCTAGACCACCGAGCGGCGTTAAATAAGCGACTCTAATTTTAATGACATTGAGTGTTTTTGCGAGACGGACAAAGTGAACGCGCTTTTGAATGAATATTATAAAATCATGTGAGCATAGAGCAAAACTAATCTCTCGGAAAAGAAAGATTTTCCATATTCAAATATGGGCTCGACCGGGATTTGAACCCGGGACCTCTCACACCCGAAGCCAGAATCATACCACTAGATCATCGAGCCAGCAAGAAATGACTTTATTTTCTGTTTTCACCTTTTCCAGTAATTTCTCAACCAAAAGCTTAGTTACTTATATCAGTTCGCTTATTTCTTAACATACAACATTTTATTATCTTCTTCTCGTTATGCCAATTTTGATCGTTCCGAAAATTCTGAAGTAGCTGTCCTCGGCCGGGATTCCAACACGGGAACTCTCACACCCTAAGCAAGAATCATACCCCTAGACCACAAAAACACGCAATCCTCTGCTTAACGTTTACCCAGAACGCTTGTGACTTGGTTTTATCAAAAGCTTAGGTACTAACGTTTTGCATTCTTTATTTTACTTCTTTCAAAATCCGACAATATGTCAGATTGAGTTATCATGAATTTAAAGTAACACAAAATGCGACGGATTGTAGATTTAGTTAGTCGAATCATTCCACTTAAACAAAACATCCGCAACTTTAAGCTTTCCTTACACTTTCCCACTGATCGTTAAGTTGCATCTCTGATGCAACTTAACGATTCTTCCCTGCAAGTGGAGGTAAGTTTTCTAAAACTATAGAACAATAAACTTCCCTGTATAAGGAAGCGCGGAGAATATTCAATTCCTAATTGTTGTCTTTGACATTAATCTAGTGGAGCTATAAAAATAAAATTGCGAAGGGCTCGGCCGGGATTTGAACCCGGGACCTCTCGCACCCAAAGCGAGAATCATACAACTAGACCACCGAGCCGCGTTAGACAAGCGACTCTCCTTTTAATCACTTTGAGTGTTTTTGCGAGACGGAAAAAGTTAACGCGCTTTTGATTTAATATAATAGAATCATGTGAGCATAGAGCAAAACTAATCGCTCGGAAAAGAAAATTTTTCCATATTCAATTATGGGCTCGACAGGGATTTGAACCCGGGACCTCTCACACCCGAAGCCAGAATCATACCACTAGACCATCGAGCCAGCAAGAAAAGACTTTATTTTCTGTTTTCACGTTTTCCAGTAATTTCTCAACCAAAAGATTAGTTACTTATATCAGTTCGCTTATTTCTTAACATACAACACTTTATTATCTTCTTCCCGTTATGCCAATTTTGATCGTTCCGAAAATTCAGTTCGCTGTCCTCGGCCGGGATTCCAACACGGGAACTCTCACACCCAAAGCGAGAATCATACCCCTAGACGACAAAAACACGCAATCCTCTGCTTAACGTTTACTCAGAACGCTTGTGACTTTGTTTTATCAAAAGCTTAGGTACTAACGTTTTGCATTCTTTATTTTACTTCTTTGAAAATCCGACAATACGTCAGATTAAGTTATCATAAATTTAAAGTAACACAAAATGCGACGGATTGTAGATTTAGTTAGTCGAATCATTCCACTTAAACAAAACATCCGCAACCTTAAGCTTTCCTTACACTTTTCTCCTGTTTTATCTCTGATGGAACTTTACGATTCTTCCCTGGAAGTGGAGGTAAGTTTTCTAAAACTATAGAACAATAAACTTCCCTGTATAAGGAAGCGCGGAGAATATTCAATTCCTAATTGTTGTCTTTGACATTAATCTAGTGGGAGCTATAAAAATAAAATTGCGAAGGGCTCGGCCGGGATTTGAACCCGGGACATCTCGCTCCCAAAGCGAGAATCATACCCCTAGATCAGGGGTCGGCAACCTATGGCTCGCGAGCCGCATGCGGCTCCTTTGATGTAAGGTTGCGGCTCTCCAGTTCCAAACGAAAAAATTTATAATTTATTATCAAAACCCTTAAAAAATAAGAAAATATATTTTTTAGTACCTAATTTCTCAATAACTTCTATTTTCATAATCGTTAATTACAAATCGCTACGCTTAACATGACCGTAATGAGATAAATTTGAACTATTGTTTTGTTCTTAGAGATGAGACCCCGTGACCATGTTTATCTTTCAGCCAATTGCATTCCATTTCCGTCTCATCCAAACAGCCACCGTTTAGAGTCTAGACGTTTTGTCAGTCAGTCATCCTCGGATAGCGCGGTCGACGTTACGTTGCATGTGTCTTAATTTAATCGCTTGCGGTTTTTGCCTGTCTATTCGCTTGTTGTTTCGAGAAGAATACGATTTAGAAGCGAATTATCTTCTCAAAGGTATGTACATGTATAATATAATAAAATCAGAAACAGAATTGGATTACATATCTGAGGATCGTGTTAACGAAGTATTAATGGTAAATAAATTGTCTGTCGTTTTAGATAGCTAAGTAAAATTTAAAAAACATAATTTTTTCAGCTCCGCCGCCAGCTTGGCATCTGGTAAAAAAAAAGAGAAGAACTGAAGAAGAAAACCGAGAATTCACTCAGGATTGGACGGAGTCGTTTGCACTCATATGCAACACAGATGGCCTTCCGAGTTGTCTCATTTGCCACGAAAAACTCGTACACAATAAGAAGTCAAATTTGGAGAGACACTTCACTAAAAACATACCCAGTTTGCTGGTAAATATCCAACCGGTGACGCACGAAAAAAAGCTGGTGAAGAACTCCAAGAAAAAACAACAACAGTCAAGTTCCATGCTAAGTAACTGGGCGCAATCTTTCAGTAATGCAAATCTGGCAAGATTTGTATCATTAGAAGTTGCAAAAAGAGGAAAACTATTCACAGATGGTGAGTACGTCAAAGATTGTTTTATACGTGCATCTGCAGAAGTGTTTCGTGATTTTAAAAACAAAGCAGAAATCATGAAAAAAAATCAAAGATTTGCCATTATCTGCTAAAACAATACAAGATAGAACTGCTAAAATGTCTTCGAGTGTAACATATATGCAAGTGGAAGACATTCAACTGGCTTCTGCTTTATCACTTGCTATAGATGAGTCTTGCGACATAAAAGACACGGCACAAGTTACCCTTTTCGTCAGGTATATGTCGTCCCAAGGTCCAAAAGAAGAACTGCTAGGATTGCTACCGCTCTCAGGGCAAACTCGTGGAGAAGATATAGCAAATGCTGTGCAAAAATGCCTGGAAGACAATGGAATCGATATAAATAAAACCGTTTCTACAGCAACTGATGGAGCCAGAAGTATGACATGAATACATAGAGGGGTAACATCAATTCTTCAGAAAAAAATAAACCACGAAATTCTAACGTTTCACTGCATAATTCATCAAGAAGCGCTTTGTGCCGATACATTTCCGGCCGAAATAGTTGAGGTCATGAACTTGGTAATTAAGATTATTAACAGCATCTTGGTAAAAGCACTCTACCATCGCAGTTTAAAGATTTCCTTGAAGAAATAGATAGCCAGTTTTCTGACCTACTTCTGCATAATAAAGTGCGATGGCTTTCCAGAGGTAACGTATTGCAACGTTTTGCTTTGTGCTTGAATGAAATAAAAACATTCCTCAATGAAAAAAGCATTGACCATCCCGAATTGGAAGAAGACAAATGGCTGCAAAAATTCAACTTCATGGTAGATACCACAATGAAAGTAATGAACTAAATCTAAAACTGCAAGGAAAGGGCAACCCAACCTACGTCTTGCTTGAAGAAGTAGTTTGTTTCGAAAAAAATTACTTCTTTTTAAAAATCTGAAGCAATATCGCGATGAAACCCATGCAACTATTGACACGAGTTACTTCAGCATAACTTTAAAAAATATGAAGGATGGATTCGCTAAGAGATTCGAGCAATTCAAAACAAACAAAAGTACTCTCGCGTTCATAGTAAATCCTCTCAACACAAATACAAATGAGATCAACATTGAGCCGTTTGGAATTGATGCTGGATCGCTTCAAATGTAATTGCTGGATTTCAAAACCAAAGACTTGTGGAGTGGTAAGTTCACAGAACTCAAGAGCAAGTTGGAAGAGTTGGGGGTCCAGAAATGCATGCACATCGCACAGCAAAAGTGGACACCTCTAAAAGAAATTCCATGAGTTGAGGCCCTCATATTCGGCGCATGGAATAGTCTTCCAGAATGCTACAGTGAGGTGAAGAAGTTGGCATATGGAGTGCTGACGATCTGCGGGTCGACATATTCCTGCGAGCAAGCGTTCTCTTGCATGAATATAATAAAAAGTAAAGTTAGAAGTCAACTAACAAATGAAAATCTAGAGTCGTGCTTGAAACTTAAAACAACAAGTTATAAGCCAGATTTAATCAAACTTTCAAAAGGCATGCAAAGCCAATGCTCCCATTGATGTAACTATCTATATTTGTGTTTTTATATGAATAAATATTATTCCGTATTTAAAGCCGTATATTTTGAATCAAAAATCAAATATATATAAGCAAATACCATAATATTGAAACGAAAATTTTTAGTGGCTCTTTCAAAACTGGGAAATTTTGTAAATTGTAACTTTTGGCTCTTCCGTTTCAATAGGTTGCCGACCCCTGCCCTAGACCACCGAGCGGCGTTAAATAAGCGACTCTAATTTTAATCACATTGAGTGTTTTTGCGAGACGGACAAAGTGAACGCGTTTTTGAATGAATATTATAAAATCATGTGAGCATAGAGCAAAACTAATCTCTCGGAAAAGAAAGATTTTCCATATTCAAATAGGGGCTCAACCGGGATTTGAACACGGGACCTCTCACACCCGAAGCCAGAATCATACCACTAGACCATCGAGCCAGCAAGAAATGACTTTATTTTCTGTTTTCACGTTTTCCAGTAATTTCTCAACCAAAAGCTTAGTTACTTATATCAGTTCGCTTATTTCTAAACATACAACATTTTATTATCTTCTTCCCGTTATGCCAATTTTGATCGTTCCGAAAATTCTGAAGTAGCTGTCCTCGGCCGGGATTCCAACACGGGAACTCTCACACCCTAAGCAAGAATCATACCCCTAGAGCACAAAAACACGCAATCCTCTGCTTAACGTTTACTCAGACCGCTTGTGACTTTGTTTTATCAAAAGCTTAGGTACTAACGTTTTGCATTCTTTATTTTACTTCTTTGAAAATCCGACAATATGTCAGATTGAGTTATCATGAATTTAAAGTAACACAAAATGCGACGGATTGTAGATTTAGTTAGTCGAATCATTCCACTTAAACAAAACATCCGCAACTTTAAGCTTTCCTTACACTTTCCTCCTGTTTTATCTCTGATGCAACTTTACGATTCTTCCCTGCAAGTGGAGGTAAGTTTTCTAAAACTATAGAACAATAAACTTCCCTGTATAAGGAAGCGCGGAGAATATTCAATTCCTAATTGTTGTCTTTGACATTAATCTAGTGGGAGCTATAAAAATAAAATTGCGAAGGGCTCGGCCGGGATTTGAACCCGGGACCTCTCGCACCCAAAGCGAGAATCATACCCCTAGACCACCGAGCCGCGTTAGACAAGCGACTCTCCTTTTAATCACATTGAGTGTTTTTGCGAGACGGACAAAGTGAACGCGCTTTTGAATGAATATTATAAAATCATGTGAGCATAGAGCAAAACTAATCTCTCGGAAAAGAAAGATTTTCCATATTCAAATATGGGCTCGACCGGGATTTGAACCCGGGACCTCTCGCACCCAAAGCGAGAATCATACCCCTAGACCACCGAGCGGCGTTAAATAAGCGACTCTCATTTTAATCACATTGAGTGTTTTTGCGAGATGGACAAAGTGAACGCGCTTTTGAATTAATATAATAGAATCATGTGAGCATAGAGCAAAACTAATCGCTAGGAAAAGAAAGATTTTCCATATTCAAACATGGGCTCGACCAGGACCCCGGACCTCTCACACCCGAAGCGAGAATCATACCACTAGACCAGCGAGCCAGTAAGGAAAGACTTTATTTTCTGTTTTCACGTTTACCAGTAATTTCTCAACAAAAACCTTAGTTACTTATATCAGTTCGCTTATTTCTTAACATTCAACACTTACTTTCTTTCTTTCCGTTATGCCAATTTTGTTCGTTCTGAAAAATCTGAAGTCGCTGTCCTCGGCCGGGATTTCAGCCCGGGAACTCTAGCACCCTAAGCGAGAATCATACCCGTAGACTACCGAGCTACGTACGCCTCTGCTTAGCATTTACTCAGAATGCTTGTGACTTCGTTTAATCAAAATCTTACGTACTAACGTTTTGCGTTCTTTATCTTACTTCGTTGCCATCTTGTCAGATTGAGTTATCATGAATTTAAAGTAACACAAAATGCGACGGATTGTAGATTTAGTTAGTCGAATCATTTCACTTAAACAAAACATCCGTAACTTTATGCTTTCGTTACATTTCCCCCTGATTTATCTCTGATGCAACTTTACGATTCTTCCTAGAAAGTGGAGGTATGTTTTGTAAAACTCTAGAACGGATTTTTACAATCCCTACCCTTATACACTAAAGGCATGATCTCGGCTAATATCATCGGCTGCGTCGCGTATTATTTAGAAATCATGACACAATAGGATCTGTTCTCCTTTACAAAATGATATATTTACTGAATGACTTCCATTAGTAGTTTCATAATCTTTATAAGGTCGTGGTAATTATACTTATCATCAAATTAAGTTTTCCGCCAATATTTTCGATGAAATATAACCCGAGATGTTCCAATTTCTTTTTTCAAATGAGATGAATTGTCTGGACCTGTTATTTAATTATTAATTATCAAAATTAATTAATAAAAAATCATGTTCATCGAATAACCTAAATGCATTTCTGTTCTTCTGTTCTTAATTCTCCTATTTCCTCTGCCTTCCCTAAAATCGACGTTTTTATGAAAATTTTCGAAATTTTTTTGTTATTTTGTATTAAAGCCCATACATTTATGATTCCAAAAATGGTTTACTTTAGCTTCTTCGACCGTTAGAAGCAAAGTTATTGCCTAAATTATGAATCAGAAGTGAAATTTTCGAAACCAAAGCTAAGCCATAGAATTGTAAACAATGCATCTAAACAGCTATTTCTGTACTCTTAAACAATGTGAATTTACAATTTACTTTTTAAACATAGAATTAAGTTTTATTTATTTATTATTATTGTTTTAGGCGTATCTGGCAACTGTTTCTCTTGTTACGGGAAATTTTACGTAAAGAAAATTTCGCTCACTCCAAAAACTGCTATTAGGTACTAAGATAGCAGTTTTATCACTCAATTCAGGCGATATAGGGCTGTTGTCTGTGTTTAACCATCTTAATATAAAACTTGAATCAAAAGTTATTTAAATAACTCCATAGAAATTGATATTGAGAGAATTAAGAAATCGAAGCGACAAGTAGAACCAAAAACAAAATTATCAAGAAACAAATTTAAAGCTGAAAGAAAATCAAAATTAATTAAAAAAATGAGTCAAGGAAAGCTTGACTTACAAATACTGTGAATTTTAAGTTGTTAAAACATGTATATAATTTTTTGTGTGACTTCAAAATCTTTATTTGCGGTTTCTGGAAAATCGCTATTCTCATTTTTTTGAATTACGAAAAATCTCGTTTCTTAAAAAGTTTTTTTTAAGATATTGAAATAAAATTTAATCCCAGTGTTCTATATATCTCTAGGTATGTTCTGAACTTCAAATATAGCTTTAAAGTGTATAATTATTTATTTTAGAAGTGTTTTTATTTGAAAAAGTGATAGTTTTTTCTAGTAAAAAGCTGTTGCGTATACAAACTTTGGTATATCTCAGTAACTTGAGGTACTCGAAATATTCTGCTTCATAACACATGTAAATGTATAACAAATATATTATTAAAACAAAAGTGAAATACATGCATTAAAATTTGTTATAGGAAGTTTGGTGTAAAGGTCAATTTTAATTAAATTTTGACCAAAAATAGCCAAAATTTCGAAAATAAAAACATTGTTCATTAAAATGGCATTTGAATTCACAGTTTTATACACCATTATAACTGAAAAAAATAAATGTTGAATAAAAATTTCCTTTTTTTCAAAATAGTGCTCCGAAGGTAGGCACACACCTTAAATGAATTTGAATCCCAAAGCTATTTCACTATCACACTGCTAGAAGAAAATGGCCCTTTAAATGGCTAACATATTTGTCTTTCTAGCGTATTTTTCTTGTTGTATAACGAATTTGATATTGTAATTCTTTTATATTGTTTTAGATTAACGCACTCGGCACTGTTTTCTTATTGTACAGCACATAAAAATCTTTCCGTGGGTTATAATATTTTTAACAAATGAAGTTATTTAAACAAATTTCATAAAAATAAAATTTCTCATTCTTTAGGAAATTATAATAACGAAATGTTAATAATAACAACTTTTTTAGGACATTAATTGACAGCTTAGGCATTTTTTTCTCTCTTTGTGAGCATGTTTGTGTTATGTTCTAATCACTTGGCTTCTACTTCAAACTCATGAGGGACTAATCTTTAATATCGGTTGAGAATATTTCTCGTACTCTATTACATATTAAATCCCTGTGCTTTAAAACGTTCTTTTGCTACTATGCTTCTCCTCATGATTGTTTTTATGTATTTGCTACCCAATTTCATGGTATAACTGGCTACTTCACTTTAATTACTTGAATTTGTAATTAAATCTTAATTCTGTTAAATTTTTCTTCTTAAACTTATTAGTGCTCACATTTTCATTACTAAATATTAAAGATTTAACTGAGTCGATAAACTTAGTAAAAAATCACTAATAAGCAATTTTCTTTAAATTCTCTAACTATTACTTAAGAAATTAAATAGACATTAATATATTAGCATTATAATAAAATCGAGAATAGAATAAATAGGACATGTAAGAGAAAAATTGGGGAAAATTAAAAAAACATTTTTAAAATAAGTAACGAAACCTGATTATAACTTAGAATTTAAAAACAAATACAAAATTTATTATAATGTTTGTCAGGATTCAAGAATTTATTGGCTCATAATCATTTTTTTAACTGCTATTATGAGAAGTTATATCAAATTTTTTCAACCACAAAGTAGCCAGAAACTTAGATGCAGAGTAGCTTTTGAAACGCCAAATTAAAATAAAATACTTACATTTAATTCTTTGGTTTTTCTATGATTATCTATGAAGTACAGTTTTTTTAAATGTTTAGTTTGCTGATAGCTATCTGCTGAAATCTTGCTAACGGGAAAAATCTTTCTGTTAGTTACAAACATTAAAATCAATATTGCCAAAGAAGTCACAAAAAGTAAGCATATAATGTAATGTAATTTCAGAAATATTTCTATTGTTAAATTTCAATTGAATGCTACAGAAAAATTACTATCGACTTTTAAAAAATTATTTTTATTGTTTTAATTAGAAGCAAACAATAGGAAATTGGCAATATTTCTCATTGGTTTTATTCGTATCATTTTCTGCTGATCCATTTTATATTTGTACGAATTCCAAATTCGTTCACCTATTCATTGATATCCACAATTGTTTCCAGATTGTTTTTGATGATGCCTTTCATTTTCAACTATTTAATTTTCAAACTTTGGAGGTAAACTCTCCTCAGTAATATTCAAGCGAATATGCTCAGTTAAATTCATGATATTCGTGAGGAAAAAGGAAGAAATTACCATCACTCGACGGTTAACCTGGAGTTTAGGATGCGTACTCACTTCGTTTCCCTTAAGCTGGCCAATTGTTTGTCGCCAAGTGAGAGTGTGCCAGAACATTTTGGAAATTTTTTTGGAGAGTGACAGAACATTTGGGACAACAAAGGTTTTGGATGCGAGTTGAAAATTTTTTCGGAGTCGTTTGCGCATGCGCCGACAGTGATTTGTCTACCGGTCTACGGCGCATGCTCTTAATTTCCCTGATTTTCATTGGTCCACTGTCTGCTCTCTTCGATTTTATTGGTTGGCGCACGAATTTGAATAATACTTCGCTTGGAATTCTAGATCATTTGCCAAACGATGTTTTTAAAATAACCGTTCGCTTCTCTTCTGAAGATTTTCCTTCATTTAATTTCCAGATTCTCTTTCTCTGTGTTGCTTATTACGGCTTCCAAATATCGAGCAAGGAGTGCTTTTTTCTGGAAACAATGGTTCCCTTGCTGCGTTTTATCGTCTTCAGTGTTTTTCCTGTGTGTTTCGTTTCTCAATGAAAACGCGAAGCTACGAGGGGTCCGCTTTGCTGAAAGAGAAGCCGCTGATATTTTTCTAAGTTAAAAAAATTTGCCCGGTGCATACTTACAATGCCGAAGGTATTGCTTGCTCAATCTCTCGGTTTGAGATGCCGCAGGAGACCTATAAAAAACTCACTGATCATCCTAAACAGTGTTTGGCGACGGCAAATAAAATTGCGCCAAAGAAAATTGGCGAGAAAATAGTACGCTCCCTAAACTCCAGGTTTCCCAAGCGACAAATTAAAATTGCAAAGTAGGTTCGCAGTTTGGAAATCGTGAAGCCCAAGTCTAAACTGATTCAAAGTTCGCATTTAATGACGTCACCTGCTTTTATCGACGAGAGTCAATGACATTGGGCAATTTCCTGCCTTTCGTTTTCAGGGTAAGGATTGTAAAAATGCGTCCGGATCTCATCTCCGTTTCGTTTCGATTTCTTTTCTTTATTTAAATTATTGTTTTTTCTTAAGCTCCTGTCACTAACTTTATGTAGGATATTTATTTTTTAGAAATATTTTGAATGATTACTACTTTACCATGTTTTCATTATTTCTGTGATTTTTTTATATTTTTAATTTTCTACGTATGGTTTTAAGAAACTATGGGTATCCTTTCGTTTTGACATGGAGATCTTTAGTGAGTCTTTTTCCCTCTAGGTTTAAGATCTTTTTCCTATCATTATGGAGGATTTTAATAATGAGAAGTAACTTAGATGATTTTTTGTCATTATTTTAAATGTATTA